AAAAAAAAAAAAAAAAAAAGACAAGGAAATGTGAATGTTGACTGGAATACTTGATATTACAAAATCACTGTTATTGTGGATGTTTAATAGCAGAGACATCTTTCAAAGTAGTGGTTCTCAAACTTTAGTATGTGTCACAATCACCCAGAGGGCTTATTATAACACATGCATGTAAAATACAGAGTTTCTGACTTAGTGGGTCTGAGAATGTGCATTACCAGTGAGTCCCCAGGTGATGCTAACTATCAGTCTAAGTTCCTTGTTTTGAGAACCACTGCACTGGATTAAACAGACTCTTTTTTTCCTAGTCAATTATCTAATTACCCTTTCAAAGAAGGAGTTAAGGTTATCAGCTACCGTGTGTCCCCGAAAATAAGACATACCCCCAAAATAAGCCCTAGCAGGATTTCTATGTGTTTGTTAAAAATAAGCCCTACCCAGATAATAAGACCTAGTGATGGGCGTAGCTATGCGGCTACGCCCTGCATTTCTGAGCGGAGTAGTAAGGAAGACTGGAATACCTTTTATTTGCCACAGCTCCTTTCTCTGCCATTTGTACTTGTGTGGGTGTGTGTGTGGTTACCGTGGTCACAGGTATCCTATTGCGCACATGCTAACGGCTAGGGGAAAGGAGTTCACGCATCACTAGCGCCAGCCCCACCAACAAAGTCGGCTCCCCCATCAGGTTTCAGAAGATGATGACTTAACTGTATTTGAATAAATGTAGATTATTGTATTATACTTAAGAAAAATAAGACATCCCTGAAAATAAGCCCTAGTGTGTCTTCTTGAGAAAAAATAAATATAAGACAGTGTTCTTATTTTCAGGGAAACACAGTAAGTTCCATCTCACCTGAGCCACGGCACTCAGATGGCATTCCATATAATGGAAGAGAATGAAGTATTGTTCTGAGGCTAATGTAACAATTCAGTTTGTATTGATGTAGGAAGGCTTGAAAGAAAAAACTTTAATATACCTTCTTTCTCTCTAAAAATTGATAACCACCCAACTCCCTCCCTAAATGATTACACCAGCCTTTACTCCTCCACTTTCATTCCATCAGGGTCCAGAATCCCAGCATGGAGCCTCCCTACAACTTAGGCTACTTCCTCCATCTTCCCAAATTCAGACTGGCAGAACGGATGTGATATGGACCCTCCAGTCCCATGATGTATCCTGCAGTGGTGTCTCAGCAGCATGCAGTGGACTGAGTTGGCTGCTGTTGAAGAGGAGAACTGCAGGCTGAAGTCTAGTGACCTGGAGCCAAATCGGGCTCTTCTGTCAACTGATTCATGGTAGGTCATGTCATTTAGCATTCTTACATCTTAGTTAAACATAAGTTCCTTATCATGAGAGAAAATGGGACACCTGGAGAAATACAACCTATTAGCCAAAATTTCTTGGAAAAAAGATGTTAGCAACTGTATTGTAACATTAAACTTAGAGATGTTACTTTTATATTTAAAGTGCTTACATGTATGTATGTGTGTACATGTTGTGTGTGTATTAGATCCTCACAACTTTGCAAGGCAGGTATAACTTGGGCTGAGAGAAAGTGAGAGCCTGGCCAAATTAAGAGCCAAAGCCAGGACTCAGCTCTTTACTTTTACATCAGTGATCTCTCCAGCACACTGCCTTCTGTCTATTTATTTTGATTAAATATAAGAATATACTTGTGCATAAAATGAATCGCCCTGAGGTTCAGCACCTGTAGCTCAGCAGTTAGGGCACTGGCCACATACACTGGGGTTGGTGGGTTTGAACCCAGCCTAGGCCTGCCAAACAACGACATCTACAACAACAAAAATAGCCAGGCATTGAGGCAGGCACCTGTAATCCAGCTACTTGCGAGGCTGAGGCCAGAGAATCACTTAAACCCAAGAGTTTGAGATTGCTGTGAGCTGTGACGTCAGAGCATTCTACCAAGGGTGACACAGTGAGACTCCATCTCAAAAAAAAAAAAAAAAAAAAGAATGGCCCTGAAAGACCAGCAGGTTGCATTAACCTAAAACTAAATGACCAATTCCCCAGCAAATTAGAAAACAAGTGTTGCTTCCCAAAGCTAAAAGCCAGGAAAGACCCTAATAACATCACTTGACATTTTCAGTGACTTTGCTTTCACAGTTTTACAGTCCTCTTCCACACCCCTCTGACTTCTTCATCACATAGTATCTTCTATGCCTCTGAGGGTGGCAAACCTTTGGCAGAAGTACCTACACTGCCGTTCAAAGAGCTTCCAACACTCTTTCAGCCTCTAAGTCACAAGACTGCCAGCATCCTGTGAGACAGTTGTGTCTTGTCATGGCAGTGGGACATCTGGTGACTAATGCCTGTGCAGCACTGGACTGGGAGACAGTTTCAGACCCCAAACCTAGCTCCAACCTAATTTCTTTCTTTCTTTTTAAAATGTATTTAATTTTTTTAAGTGAAAAAAAAATTTCTTTGAGAAGAGTCTCTGTACCTTGGGTAGAGTGCCGTAGTGTCACCATAGCTCACAACAACCTCAAACTACTGGGCTCCAGTGATCCTCTTCCCTCAGCATTCTGACTACAGATAGCTAGTTTTTCGTTTTTAGTAGAGAGGGGGTCTCACTCTTGTTCAGGTTGGTCTTGAACTCCTGAGCTCAAGCCTTGGCCTTCCAGAGGGCTGGGATTACAGGCATGAGCCATTGTGCCCAGCCTAATTTCTTGCAAGTTTTGACCTTGAGAGTGCTATAGTAATAAAGTCTTTATTGAGTAATAAGGCTGATATAAACAACCAAGCTGCTATTGAATGTCTTTTGAAGGCTAGGTACTGCATTATAGGCTTTATATGAGACTTCAAATATTCATCATTATTAATAACGTGATCATTTATTTATTGTGCATCTACTTTGCACTTGGTGGTTCACATGGGATCTCTAGGCTACATTTCTCTCACTTCTCATTTAGTCACCAGGCACCTGCCTGTCTTACATCAGTCACACACTGAAGGAATGCCTTTTGTGTTCAGAAAATTATCTGGACCCTTTAAGTTTATCCTGTTATAACAAAGAAAAGAAAGAGAGAGAAGAGATCAAGGCTCAACTTGAGCCACCGAAGTCTAGGATATCTCTATTTGGGGTACTTGAAGATAGTAGCAACAGAAATTTGGAAGGGAGTAGCAGATCTGCTAAACACTATTTCCTAAATCAAATGAGTGTTTTGATGGCATAAAAGATGAGCTTTCTGACGGAAACTCTTGTCACATTTACTACAGTGAAAAGGTTTTTCTCCTGTATGTGTTCTCTGGTGTGTGAGAAAATGGGACCGCTGATTGAAGGTCTTGCCACATTCTGGACATGGGTAGGGTCTGTCTCCTAAGTGGATCCGTTGATGGGTGATGAAGTGGGAGCTCTGATTGAAGCTCTTCCCACACTCCCCACATTTGTAGGGTCTTTCTCCAGTGTGGATACGCTGGTGCTTAATGAGAGCAGAACTGTCAGTGAACCCTTTCCCGCAGATGTCACACTTAAAAGGTCTCTCCCCTGTGTGTGTTCTCTGGTGTGTTACCAGATGTGAGCTCTGATTGAAACTTTTATGGCAGTTGGGACAACTGAAAGGCCTCTCTCCTGAGTGAGTACTCATGTGAGCCACGAAATGAGAACTATCTCTGAAGCCCTTCCCACACTCTGGGCATTGAAAGGGCCGTTCTCCTGTGTGTGTTCGTTGGTGCTTAATCAGATCTGAGCTCTGACTAAAACTCTCCCCACAGTCATTACACCTGTAAGGTTTCACCCCGGTGTGGGTCCTCTGGTGAGTGATGAAATTTGAACTTCGACTAAAGCTTTTATGACAGTTGAGGCACGTGTAGGGCTTCTCTCCTGTGTGGGTTCTTTGGTGCATTATGAGGTGTGGCTTCCTCCCAAAAGTCTTTCCACACTCTGGGCACTCATAGGGTCTTTCACCTGTGTGGGTTCTCTGATGTTTAATAAGTGTCGAGCTGTCGCCAAACTTTTTCTCACACCCATTGCATTGGTACGGCTTCTCTCCTGTGTGTGTTCTGTGGTGAGTGATAAGGTCTGAACTCTGTTTGAAGCCTTTCCCACATTCGATGCATTTGTAAGGCCTCTCACCTGTATGGGTTCTTAGGTGTCTTATAAGATAGGAACTCTGGTTAAAGCTTTTCCCACATTCTGTACACACAGGCTTGTTTCTCACATATCCATCCAGGAGCTTGTTTAAATCCATCTCCTGTGAAAAGGGCTCCTGCTGGACCTCTCCTGGAAGGGCTTCCTGTTGCCCTTCTAATTCACGGTCCCTCTCCCAGCTTCCTCTCAAACTAGGAGTGTGAGCAGTATTTTTATTGGTCCTTCCCGAGGACATTCCACATTGTTCTGTTTCAGAAATGTTCTGATTGAGTTTTGCCACCTGGTACTCAAAGTCTGAAAAATTAACAGAAGTAACAGAGAATAAAGTTATCAGTTATCAGGAAAAAAACATCAGAAAGTACTAAGAAAGATTAAAATTACTGTTTCTGGCTTGGCACCCATAGCACAGTGGTTATGGTGCCAGGCACATACACCAAAGTTGGTGGGTTTGAACCCAGCCCGGGCTAGCTATGACAATTGCAACAAAAAATGGCCAGGTGTTGTAGTGGGCACCTGTAGTCCTAGCTCCTTGGGAGGCTGAGGCAAAAGAATTGTTGAAGCCCAGGAGTTTGAGGTTGCTATAAGCTGTGATGCCATGGCACTCTACCAAGGGTGACATAGTAGGACTGTCTAAAAAAAAAAAATTACTGTTTCTGCAGCAGGCTAAACTTGATCCAATCACTCTGTTTTTTACTTTGTGAAAAGTTTATTTAATCAAGTCCATGGAGCTTACAGAAAACACGAATTCCTAAACTCTTTTTAAGAAGCCATATGAATCTTGAGGTAATCTTGATATTCTTCAAGATATATACCACATATTGTCAAAACTGGACAACTCTTGCAAATATGTTAGTTTACACAAAGTGAAACACTTAGTCAAAATGAAGACTTTCTTTGATTACTGACTGCCCAAGAGGCAAAATTTAAACTTCTAATAGTAAGAATAAACATTTAGGACAGCATTCCACATTCTTCATGTAAATACAAGCTGAAATGCTGATTTCCTCCCACTGGAAGCATCCATAACTCACCTGAGTGACTTTCCCCCGGGGTCTTCCTTGTCCCAAAGTGTCGCAGTGGAAGGACCCATGGCTCTTCTTTCTGTGCCAGCTGGGAGATTACACTTGGTCTAGAAATCCTGCACAGGAAAGTGAACACAGGACGTTATTCAGAACCAGCTATACAAGGCCTGACCAACATCCAGACCTTTTCCCTTCCCAGGTAGGGAGAACATCAGGGGAACTCCAACATGTGTTTTGTCTCATTTAACAGGCAGCCATGGTAAGGGGATAAGGCAGGGTGATCTCCCCAGGAGGCTGAGAGAAAAGCCCTTTCCTCCTATTAAAAACAAAACAAAACAAACCAGACTCGAGTGATAGAAACTCTAAAGCAAGCACAATAACTCATTTCTGAAGGCACAAGTCTAATTTCATGTGGAGAGAGAATTTTATCAGGAACAAAGCTGCCATGACCTCACCCTTAGAAAGAATCAAGGAAGTTAACTATAATGTTGGGCTTAACATTTTTCCAGAAGAGAAACAGCAGATATAGCCATGAGAAAAAGACAAACACTTGTTTTTTTTTTTTGAGACAGTCTCACTTTGTCACCCTCAGTAGAGTGCCATAGAGTCATAGCTCACAGCAACCTCAAATTCTTAGGCTCAAATGTTACTCTTGCCTCAGCCTCGTTAGTAACTGGGACTATAGGCACCTGCCACAACACTCGGCTATTTTTAGAGATGGGGTCTTGCTCTTGCTCAGGGTGGTCTCAAATCTGTGAGCTCAAGCCACCTGCCTTGGCCTCCCAGAGTGCTGGAATTATAGGTGTGAGCCACTATGCCCAACCAAGACAAACATTTGCTAAGAAAAAATAAATGGGCAATGGAAATAAACAGGCAATTGACAAAAGAAAAAAAATATAAGCAGCCTATAAATATCTGACAAAGCTTTAACCTCATCAACTAAGGAAATTCAAATTAAAACAATGATACATATAGGCAATATGAGTATAGTGTAGGAGTCACACTGCCTGGGATCGAATCCTAACCCAGCCTCTTACAAACTGTGTGGTTTTAGTAAAATTACTTAAACTCTGTGTTTCAGCATATTCATTGATAAAATAGAAATAAGAATAAGACCCACCTCACATGGTGGTTGTGAGGATTAAATGATAGGCCCTCATTAAATGTTATTAATCACTTTTATTTTATCCCAAGTCTTATATTATCATACCCACTATGATAGGCAGAATATAAAGAAATAGATACTTTGATATCATGCATGTGAGAATAAATTGATCAATCTTCTTAGAAGGCACTGGCAAAGTATTAAATACAGCAGAACATCCATAGTTGACCACCTCTCTACACTGACAACCTCTTTAAGTTTTCCTGATTTTCGCATACTGCCACATATATGTATCAGTACAGTAAGCCTAGTTCCCCATGTTGACCACTTCTATATGTAGACCAGTTTGTTATAGTCCTTTGGGTTGTCAACTTACAGAGGTTTTTAGGGATGTATCTAGTCTTTGACCCAGCAACTCTAATTCTGGGAATTCTAAGGAAATGATACAAATTATACTTCAATAAACAAAACTTTTAAAAAAGATAATTAGCTAAAAGATGTTCATCATCTCTGGTGAAAATTTGGAAATGACCTAAATGTCCCACAACAAAGGAATAATTATATTTGATTGAACCAAGTAAAACTAGTAGCACTTTTTTTTTTTTTTTTTTATAGAGACAGAGTCTCATTTTATCGCCCTCAGTAGAGTGCCGTTGAGTCACACAGCTCACAGCAACCTTCAACTCCTGGGCTTAGGTGATTCTCCTACCTCAGTCTCCCGAGTAGCTGGGACCACAGGCACCCACCACAACACCCGGCTATTTTTTGTTGCAGTTTGTCTGGGGCCAGGTTTGAACCCGCCACCCTCGGCATATGAGGCTGGTGCCCTTTCCACTGAGCCACAGGCACCACCCAAACTAGAAGCACTTTTATAGGTAAGAAAATAGCCCATAGCACAGTGGTCACGGCGTCAGCCATATAAACCGAGGCTGGTGGGTTTGAACCCAGTCCGGGCCAGCTAAACAACAATGACAACTGCAACAAAAAATAGCTGGGCATTGTGGTGGGTGCCTGTAGTCCCAGCAACTTGGGAGGCTGAGGCAAGA